AAAATCCACCTAAAGAGCAACAGGCTTGGAGTGCTATCTGCTGAGGAGGTGCTGCATTATGACATCTGACATCATGTTAGGAATTTCCTGGGAGGTACACTTTGATTGTTTGGACTGTAATACATTATACATAATAAAAGTGAGAGAGACGATCCCAGTCGGAAGTTCTTCCAAGTATGGTCTCTGGAAAACTGTCTTCAAGCAGAGATTCATCGGTCAAATGCATAGGCGAAAAGTGCAAGTGAATCTCCTTTCCTCCTTGTATATTCACAATCTACATGAGCACATCTGAGACTCCAGAGGTCCCACGGTAAAATAACTTCTAAACATTTTTATTGACCTTCTGTCTCTTAAAGTTATTTGGCAATAACACATTTGATGTATAACGCCTATTAGCAGCCTGAAGAACTAAGACTCAGAGGCACATACTCTGGATAATGACACTTCAGTTTAACTATGCAAGTTAAATGATTTGTTTGTAAATAAATGATTGCTCCCTCTAAATAACTCATGTATTCATAAAATTATAGGCCAGTAATACCACAGTCCCATATAAAATAATAACAATACAATTACAGATGAAACAATTATAGTAAATCTATCATCTGATATTAATATATTATTTAACATTAGATCTTTTAAAAATCTGCTTCTAATTTTTGTATATTTCTTTGTAAGTCAGTCTTGTTAGTTGGTGTCCTTCAGTTATTTTCCAGTGACTTTCTGGCTGTCTCTGAGGAAAGTTTCAATAAATAGAAAGCTATTGCTTACTGATATTTTTTTCCTTACAACTTATTTGAGGGCTTAACCTCATTAGCCAGAGATACTCTTTTTTCAATCAGCTTTCTATTTTGAGTTGTTCTATTTTCCACACAGGCTCTTTCAGAATGCTATTATTGCTCTTAAATTCTAGGTCAGAAAGTTGTTTCTGCTATACAATTGATTACAACATTGGGTTTATTATTTTTAAACAGTATTGATTTAAAATGATAAGCACACAAAAAGGTGCTTCATCATGCGTTCAGGTACATTTATAAAAATAGAATAAAGACTAAAGCAAACATGATTCTTCCCCTACCCACTGATCCTCTATTGTTGTTTAGAGAGTGGCTCCAGAAGACAGCTTCTTTGAGAATTGTATCTGGATGGCCCAGATCCCCTAGCTTCTTTATTTGTTAGGAGCTGCTGTAGAAAGAAAGGTTGGATGACGTCTCCTTGTTCTAGGACAGTGAGGATAAACCTTTTAGAGACCAAAACCCACTTATCTATCACGAAGTGTCAACAGTGAACTGTTATCCCATGCTCGGCTGCTAGGGCGATGCTGGGGCAACTCGGCTCTGGGGCGTGCTGGGGCACGGTGTGCCATTCACCAGCACTGGTCTAGGAACTGGTGCTCTGTGAAGAGAAGTGTGAAGAGAACAGGAGCTGAAGCATGGCAAGGCCTGCCTGAGTGGCAGAAGCTGCTTCTTCTTTTGTCCATGAGAAGGAGGAACGGGCCCCTGTGAGTGGCTGGGGTCTGGGACAGAGAAGTTAAAAAGCTAGGTCTAGGCCATAGAAGCTGTGACAGATCAAAATATGTAAAGGCAGGCAACATCCTCTGTTCAGACTGAGGATAATTTCTAGAATGAGAAAGCGTGGAAAACAAAAAGGGGTATAAGTATATACTCAGTATAAGTAAATTTGAGTATAAGTAAATAAACAAACCCACACTCTGACAAGGATGTGTGGGCATTACATTAAGTCAGAGCGGGTGTGAGCGCAGTTTCAGAAAATGTTCAAAGCAGGTGACTGCAATAGATATGACCAACTCCCTCTTAAGAAAATCCTGGCTGGGTGTGGCACCTCATGCCTGTAATTCTAGCTACTTGAGAGGTTGAGGCAGGTCAACTTCACGTTCATGGCCAGACTAGGAGATTTAGTGAGATCCTGTCTCAAAACAAAAATGAAAAGGCCTTGGACATAGCTCAGTGGTAGAGCATCTCTCAGTTCAATCACTGGTGCAACGAACAAAAACCAAAAAACTCTGCACAAATAAATATGTGCAATTAATTATATGTTAATAAAAATTTTATAACAGAAAAAAAGCCAAGAGTCTAAACAGTTTCCAGGTGTTTCATATGTAAACAACATTAAAATTGTTAATTCTGCTAATCAAGTTTTTCTTTCAAAAAAGATACTAATATTACAATTTATATGTGGCAGAGTATCCATTACCTGCAGTGCTTGTGAGAAGTGTTTCAGACTTGGGAATACTGGCATGTACACAATGAGATATCTTGGGGATAAGATCCAAGACTACACATAAAATTTGTTTATGTTTCATATACACATTTTACGGATAACCTTAAGGTAATTTTATATACTATTTTGAGTACTCTAGGGTTTTTACTGCTACCTGTCACGAGTTCAGGTATGGAATTTTTCACTTGCGGCATCGTGTTGGTTTTTGAGAAGTTTCCGATTTTTTTTCATATTTTGGAGTTTAAATGTCCAGATTAGGGATGTTCAACCTGTATTCCATTGGTTTGTGTATTGTTCTGTTTCATGCCAGAAAAAGAAATAAGAAAAGTACAGAAATTACACCCAATTCAAAATTATGCCCTATTCTAAAAATTTAATGCATTTAGATTTCTATAAGAAACTTAGAACCCTGTCATTTTGTTAAGGTCACTTGTCACTGATGGTTCACAGATTAGTATTTTGGAACACAAAACATGTTTCTAAAACATGTCTAAGATAGTAATATTTATTATCTTCAGAGATACTTACACTGGTGGTATTAGTTGTAATACAGCGTATAAACATCCCAGACAACATTATTTACTGAATCATCTAGACGGTAAAAAAAAAAAAGGCCTAAAAGCCAGTGAATGCAATATACCCTGATAATTTACAGATAAGTATTCAGAGACAGTACAAAGAGAATATATTAGTACTAAGAGCATGTTAAAGGAGTAACCAGGGAAACATGGTATTTACAATTGGAATATTGTATTCCAACATTCATGGAATATTCTTATTCCTTTTAGGAGAGAGGAAAGCAAAGCAGAGTGTTTGAAAAAGATGAGGCAAAAAGATATAAAGTTCTGACTGCTATATTTGAGGTCAAAATGATTGCTTTCATTTGATTCTGCTGTCCATGTGTTTTTGCTTAAATTTTTAGTGCAGAGTCTAATGTGTGAATTCATCTGCATGGACAAGTGGACCTTGTGTTAGCCTCCTCTTGTCCAGTTACCTTGGCTGGACAGGGCAGTCTAGATCAGGAAGAACAAACCTGGCTGACTGTGCTCACCCTTCAGACAATACTTTGGATTCTCACCAAAAGAGAGCTCTTAGTGATTTTCAGAAAAGGTGGCATGGCTGAATATCCCCCCACCAATCTACCTCTTATTCTTAAGTTTGTTTTTTTAAGACTGGGTCTCACTATGTAGTGGAGGTTGGTCTTGAACTCACTGTGTAGCCCAGCCTTGCCTTGAACTTGTGGTGATCTTCCTGCCTTAGCCTCCTGAATGCTGAGAATACAGGCATGTGTACCATGTCTGGGGTAAATTTGGTTATTATAAACTTGTCCATAGCTCCACAATTAAAAAAGAGCCAAAGGGTTTGGATCTTAAATTTGGAAGGGTTTATGACCTGGCATCTTTCTGAGTACAGGAAGATTTTCCTAATCCCTCAAATGGGTCCTTTTCTCTTTTGGAATAATTGAACCAATAAATGAACCAAACTCCAAATGAGTGGTGAGCAGTCATTTTTTAAAATGACTTAATTTTTTTCATTTGTTGATGAGATTAATGATTTTCTGCTGTCACATTTGGAACTGAAAATATTTCTAGTTTCACCTTTAACAATAATTTCAATTATGTTACTTCATGGAACCATTGGAAGATACTGAAGACAAAATATGAATAGAAAAATCTACTGCTACTGCTCAGTTTGTAAAAGATTATTATTAGACTATCTAAATAGGGGTACACAGGGAAACAAGGAAGAAGAAAGATTAAAATATAGTAGATTCACTATATTAATTTGAACTTTTGGTTGCACTTATAGAAAATCAAATAAAATTGACCTCAGTGACAAGAAGATTGTATTATTTTATGTATATATATATATATATATATACACACACACACATCTGTCCATTGGTATTCATGGTGGATTGGTTCTAGGAACCTCCATGTACACATATATATATATATATATACACACACACACATCTGTCCATTGGTATTCATGGTGGATTGGTTCTAGGAACCTCCATGTACACCAAAGTCCAAGGGTGCTCAAATTCCTTTTACAAAATGGTACAGTATTTGCATATAACACATCTATATCTTCCCATATACCTTGGGTCATATCTAGAGTACTTTTTAAAATTTATTTTTTCACAGTTCTGGGGATCAAACCCAGGGATTCTTATCTACTAGGCAAGTACTCTGCCTCTGAACTACATTCCAACCCAAATTTAATAGAATGCTAATTCAATTTAATGTGAATGCTAGGTAAATAGTTGTTAATATTGTTCATGGAAGAACATCAAGAAAAATGTCATTTTATACATTTTTTCTAAATATCTTTTTTCACAGTTGATTGAATCTGAGGACACTAAACCAGGAGACAGTGAACCTGGAGGTATGAGGGACAAACTATATACTGGGCAGCTCACAAAAACCAAAGATCAAGAAGGTAGGTCTGAACACAGTCAAGCTCCCTTGGGTACTCTGTCACATGATCAGAAGTCCATCTTTCGGCTAAATAATAGCCAGTTGTGAAACACAGCTGCTTTCACTGGACCACATGCAGACAGAGGCAAGGGTAGAACTGAAAAAGGATGCTGTTTTCATAAGAAATAAACGGAGTATTAAACAACAGTGAAATCAGGCACAGTGGTGCATCCCTCTAGTCCCAGCTACTCAGGAGACTCACAGGAGGACTGAATGTTCGAGTCCTACCTGGGCAGTTCAGCAAGACGCTGTTTCAAAATAAAAATTAAAAAAGGATGGGCTAAAACTCAGTCCCTAGCACTGTGCAAAACAAAACATCAAAACCAAAACAAAATGACAAAATTATGAAGAAGGAAGACATCCAGGAAAATGCCTTGTCATGTTTCTTGAATATTTAGAAATAATCAAGATCAGTCTCCAGGGTCAAGTATACTTAAAGGAAAAACTTTATGCGAGGAAATTATTTGAAACTTTAAAGCTACATCAACATATAGCAATCTGTTGAACAGTGGCTTATTGTGCAATGCTTAATTAATTACTAATACTCACTGTCCACTCATTACATACAAGGTACACCCCTAGATTCTTTGGTACCAGGAGGAAGTTGCTAAGACGAGTAACCACCTACCTTGCAGAGTATATACATTAGTAATCTGTAGGAGGTAAACCAAGCTGCAATAAGTAGGTCTAGCTAACATAAAGGCTTGAACATTTGTTTAAAAGAAAAATCATAGACTCATATTACTATTATTTCCTCTAAAAAGGTTAGTGGCCTTCTTTTTAAAAGATATGACCCCAACCATTCTTGATCTGGACTAAGTTTGCAATCGGCCTCAAGCATATCGTGCATACTGATACTATTAATCTAGTTTCAGCTGAAGACTTTCCACTGAAATTTCTTGTGTTTCGCTGTTTTTCAGTGGAATTTTAGGGAAATAACCAGAGAGGACAGATAAAGGTAGACTAATTCTTAAGTGCTATAAGTATGCTTCAATTTATTATTTTTATAATTAATTTTGAAGCCTAATTTTGAAAAGCATGGGAGAAAAGGCGGAGGAGAGCAAGAAGGTTGGGAGGACACCAGCAGGTGGCGCTTGTTTCTTTTAAGAAAATTATAATATTTTGTTCTCAACCAAGAATTCTTTAGGAATTAAGGGCGACTAGGCCGCAGTAATCACAAGTGACACAGAGCATGCCATACTTACGTGCTGAGTCCATCAATTCACAAGTTCCTGCTTGACGCCTTCGCCATCACAGTTCTCAGCAAAAGCTGTCATGTTTTCTTACTTGATCGCCAGCCACGTTTGTCTCCCCAAGCCACCAACCTAGAGGAACCCTAAGGCCTCGTGCAGAGCAAAAACAAAGACCCTAGAGAGATGGAGCTGTCGCTTTGGGAAAGGAGTCAGACTTCATGCGTCTCCCAGCTGGTCTGTCCTTGGGTGACAGAGGGTCCCTCTTGCCGTTAAACCTGGGCTGGGCAATCACCCTGGGTCATGCACGGCAGAACGTGAATGCTGCACCCTACGAGACAAGAAGCAGCACAAGGACACGGACAGTACCCAGGCTCAGGCTCAAGCTGGGCCTTAATGGCTTGCTGTGTCACTGGCCTTCTAATCTCTCCTAACACAACCCAATTTGGGGCTCACTCAGCCATAGCCAGACCCTCTCCTTTATACGATGAAGTATTCTGTCTACCCTAAAAAAAAAAAAAAAAAAAAAAAAAAGATCCCTTTTCAACATCCTTCCTTTCTGGGTCTGTAGCTTTCTACTGTGGCTTGCCAACTACAAGGCTCCACTGTATTTGTTAGTTCACGCTGGTAGTCTAGTCCTGGAGCCCACTGGGAAGGACGGCCACCTACACTTGAATCCAGCGCCACCTCTGTCTGCAGCGATTACTTTAGATAAATTTCTTAATTCCTCTTTGTAGTCTGAGGGTAGCAGTAGTTCCAGTTAGGGGCTCCTGGATTTAAAGAGAGAATTTATGTACCTAGATTTGCGCCTGATGCGCGAGGGCTGGGGGTGGGTCCGTGGAGCTCACCCAATCTTGAAAACAGCCTTTGGAGGGCTCTGGGTCAAACCTTCAGGATGACTCTCCTCCCCGTGAGCTCGCTGTATTTCAAATTCCACCCGTTGCCTCGCCTAAAATGTAGAATTCCTTGCGCCCTAAAACCTCCCGAGGCGAGAGGAAACCCGGCGGGTCGGGCGTCGGGTTTCGGGTCGGACCGCGGGGCTCCGGGGGCGGGCGGGCCGGGGGAGGAGCGGGCGGGGTGCAAAGGTTGTCGGTCCTCAGACCTGCGGC